ACGATGGTTCGGTTGATCACCCCTGTTGGTACAATGTCGTCTATAATTACCAATCTGAATTTAATGTTTCTACCTAACACCCGGATTTACGATTGTTCGGTTGTATTCTATGTGAAGATAAACACGATAATCGGGCGGGATCTTGCCTACTAGCGCCATGTGCTCATTTCGTACGATTTCGTGTTAAACGTTCTTATTCATAGTGTTTCGAGTAGATTTCGCTATAAATATAATTTACATCGATTGGTCACTCGTTTAGCGTAACAGACGCCATTTTTTAGCTAAAGTGTTACGGTTATAGGTAGGAAAAGCGAGCATCCCGCGCATTTTTCCGACCGCTGTTGCTGCCGCCACCGCCACCGCTCTGTGGGTTTCCATTATGGCGCCCGAAACCAAGCCCGCGTTCATTGTGCTTTCTCGCTCGCTCGTTCCATCATCTCCCTCCTTCCTTTCATCTCTTCTCATTCTTTCTCGCGCTATTTCTCTCTGCCTGTCCCTCTCTATCTTTCTCTCTCTCACTCTGTCATAATTGATCGATAATTCGTTGTAAGAGGGTTAATCGTGTCCGACGGACGATCGATAGACTAACACGTATCTCTTTCAGGTCGACGTGTTGCTCTGAAATTGTTTACCGATCTGCGTGCATAAACACCGCGCTGAAGGCTTCCTTTCTCGCTTTACTTCTTTCTCTTTCTCTGTCTCTCTTGTCTCCCTATCCGCGTCTCTGCCCGCGTTCGGTCGTCTCTTTCCATCGAAAACCCCACGCGCGCAGCCAGCAGCTACGCCATGTATTATATACCCATGCCTCTCCTGCTTCCCTGTCTTTCGTAGTATGCCGCGTAGTGTTACGAACCTTCGAGAAAACATCGTTGCGATTTTTCATCTTGAATCGGACCGACCGACCACCATTCGGCGTCGTGATAGGGAGCTGCTTATTTTTAGTCGATAATACGTCGTTACGACCGTTTCCATGGAAGTTACAAGGTGAAATTCTCAGCCGAAAATGCCGGTATTCTCGACAGTTTCCGTTCAAATTGATAGAGAGCGGTGTCTTCGAGCGGGAATTGTATGTCACGTGGAAACCATAATTATATCTCTGTCTATATACGTGGATCGAACATCGGTATTTTATTGCTACGTCTAACCACGTTCGTTCAATTATCAATTGAGAGATAAGAAAAATTTGATAATACCTGTTTGTTCTCTTTTTTTCATGCTTTATGTCGATTGTAGCAAATACAAGTAGTTATCTGCATGAAACTTGCTTTCATTTTGAATTGATACGTTACCGCTGTGCCCTGATTACGTGGTTACGTAGCAAATATGATGGATGTTATTTACTACTCGCAGACACTGATGCGAACGAATATGGAGGGCGAGAAAAAGGCGGGAGTTTTGAATAACACTTGAATACTCATCATCATGATCTACGAGACGTGATACGGTGCCTTTTATATTCGAATAGATAATAAATATAATATTTTCAGTAAATAGCAATTCATGGAAATTAGGTTTTAACATATTGAATCAACTTTCATGATGAATTTAGTAAAGAATTTAAATCAAATTATCGATGGTTGCGAATTTCTTATTGCTGTCAATTAATATATTTTTGTCGGGATTTGGAGGCTTCGATACTTCTCTGCTTCGATTCGTCGATGATTGTTTATTCGCATATAAAAACGGTTTTAATGATACAACATGGTCAAATTAATACGTGTTACAGAAGAATTATATAACGATTATTCATGACTAACTCGACGACCGAGAGAAGTGAAATGAGTCTATGCAATAGGTTATAAGCGTTGGGTTATCTGTAAAGACCTCGTGATTAGAAATAACGTGATAGGTAATCGTGTTTGTGGGATAATGAGTAACGAGTAGCATCGACGTTTCATGACCACTAGACCTCGGTACGTCACTGTCACTTGTCGTTCGTTGTGAACTACTCGACAACGCCATGAATGTATATAACGGTAGTAGCAGTTGCCAACAGATACTAGTTCGAAGAAAAAGCGCATCAAGTTTCAGAGAGACATATCATAAAACGCTTCTGTACTGTCTGAAGCACGGTGGTCTTATAAATTACAAATGTGTTTTTACTCGCTGCACGTTAAGACATGAATATTGTTTGATGCGCGTCGCGCCTACGTTTCGTTACAATAGTTCGAGCAACGTTACGATAATACCATTGATTTTTATTATAGAGATTAACTTGACATTGATATTGATACGTTATGCTTAGTCTTCAAGTTTATGAAATGAGATATTACGTTCTGTTTGATAAAGACGCTTGATAATACGAAGCGTTTACCTTGAAGTAGCGCGATCTTGATATTACCCGTTCGTAAGGGCGCGTTTAGAATAAGCGAGTAAATGTTCGTTCTTCCCCCCCCCACTTCGGTAAAATTCAAGCGTGAACGAGCATTCTTCCGTTGTCGAGCTGTTTTCTCGACCAAACCAAACGAATATTCTACGAATAAGGACGCACGCTTGTCGAATCAATTCGACGCATTTCAATTCTATGCAATTCAGTTTGACGCGTTTCAGTTCTATACGATTCAATTCTATGGAATTCAATTCGACGCGGATTCAGTCCCACGCGATTCAATTCCACACAATTTAATTCAGCACATTTCAATTTGTCAAGATTCAATTCACCATACTGGGCATTCGAACGCTCAGTTTAACACTAGAAATATCGGCGGCTATCGCATACTTATTTTTAAATTGAAAACGAGGTAAAGGAGTAATGAACAAGGTGTGAAAGATAGAAAATAACATATGCAATTATTTTTTCCTTCATAAAAGTAAAAACGAATTCGGTTGAAAGTAATTTTAAAAAATTCTGTAATTTGAAAGAAGAAACCTTGAATAAAAACCATTTTAACTCCTTTCGTAATTAAATACTCGGTAACGAATGCTCCTGTTTTACGTCCTTGTTCGGTCTAAGCGCAGCGTAACGTTGTAATAGTACGGCTGGAAATTAAGTATATACATATATTTTATTTTACTCGAAATTTGGTATTATTTTCATTTTTAATCCGTTTGATCTTCACCACCGATGACTGTGTAATTGGTGCACGATATACCCGGGCACGCTTCTTCTTCGTGCTTCTCTTTCCCCTTTTCGTGTGCTTCACGCAGCACGAACACATCCCTTCTACAAACATGTATCATAGCGTCTGCCAATCCCTACGTTTTACCCCACCACCTAGTCTTAGTCGATTCGTCCCTTTGATTGGATGATGCAGTTCTGCGAGTTTTCTATGCCCTCTTTCCTCGTATCGCCGATATCCACACGTCGTGTGTATACCATTACGAAAATTCACCCTGGTCCCAAGCAACGCTCTTTGAACACGAATTTAAGGTACCGCCGTTTCAATGATCTTGCGAAACGTTATCGTTCCGTTCGTGTTTATTGTGCTTGAGATTCAACGTTAACCTCTTAGATTACACTTTCTGTCTTCAAATGAACGTAATTTGATGAGATATTACGTTTAAAAATAAATGGACAATTTAATGTACGTAATCGCATAAGTTACGAATCAATGAACGTATACATTAAATTACGTGTATTTTAGTTTTAAGCTGCATTTATTGTTTTCAATATCACTTTGGTAATATTTAACGGTTCCCTTCGGCCAAGGAATTCATCGTTCTTTGCGTCTTCCTGTTTCATCGTATTTTAACGGAAAGTCCCCTCCAGTCTCTTTCCGTATCCGTAAAGTTTCTTGGCGGGAAGGGAATCTTCTTCATCCGTTTCCCCTTCCACTTGATCGTTCCGCCGTTCTTACGTTGCCCCCACTTCTTCTCAATTCTATTACTTTTGTTCATAATATATAGTACCTACGAATATATATTAAAATGTTAAGTTAACTTTAATTTCGAGTTCGCTTAAAAAATATTGATAATTGAATGATTGCTGTTATTTAATTGCAATTTATTTTGTGTTTCAGGACAAGAACGATGATACGAAAAAACAGAAGAAAGAAGAGAACGGCGATGGTGAAGTAGAAGAAGAGGACATTGAGGAGGAAGTTGAAGAAGAGGAAGAAGTCGACGGCGATGGCGAAGAAGACGACGAAGACGACGACATACCAGAAGGCGAAGAAGACATAGAAGAGGGTGAAGGTAAACAGAGAATTTTCTAGTATATGACGTTCCTTACATTATCGAGGCGACGTGTTTGAATTTACTCACAATATAAATAGCGTAATCTGTGCCGCAAGGTTGTGCACGAATGAAACCTTTGTGTGTTTATAGATGAAGAGGAGGACGATGCAGAAGGCGAAGTAGAAGGAGAAGTAGAAGACGAAGAGGAAGACGCATAATGAAAAAGGGAAAGGAGTATGTAAGTAAGAAGGGAGGTAGGCACATGGCATCGTCGTCGATCTTCGGCAGGTCTTCTCAGCAAACACTTACTCTCATATTGAGTGGTTGGTAGCAATGTTGATTATCCATCGTGCCCGAACCCTATTGCCTCCCGACCTACGAGTAAAGATTACCACCTCACCGGAGTTGTGGTGGGCTGACACACATTAGAAGCAAGCCGCAATTCTACTGTCTTGGCTCTTCGCAATTCTGGTCGTCTAGCCATCACCAAATACTGTTAGGTAGTTTGAATTAAAACGATGTATTTGTCGTGAGGAATCTTGAACGTTGATTTCGTATAATGTCGAAGTGATTCGTATGCATTCGTAACGTTTGATACAAACATTGTACATATTCCCATGACGAATGTATGGTTTTGTCCAAACCATCTATCAACTGGTATTTGTCATCATCTGGCTCACTTCGCGGGACAGTTTTATAACGAAAACTTATTTAAGATATAAAAAAAGCTCTATTGTATTTAAATAGTGTAAAATGAACATTTGTGGGTGATGATTTTTTTTACATTTGAAATCAAATTTACGTTTGTAGTTCGACGAATGTCTCTCACCTTGTGCGCGTGATCGATTTTTTTTTTTTTGATCTATACGTGTATTTGCAATGACTGCAGGAGCGCGAGCAATTAAAAGAAACGAGGATGAAGAAAATATATAATAATGAATTAAGTGATACGTAAGACAACAAAAATAGCAAATAAATGCGTATAAACCTAGAAGGACATCTCTCGACATTCGATGTATACTAAAAATGAATTTTAATAGTCTTAAAAAGATTCTGCTACGTGCTCCTGTTTGATCTGAAAAGAAGAAACAGGAATTACAAGTTAATATAACGCTCGCGCCAGGTAGTGTGGATGAGTAATGTGTGACTTTAACATTGCATAATAATTATACATAGTATGTATAAAGTTATGGAATAAGAAACATTTTATTATTAACGATATAATATTATGTAACGTAATGTAATGTGGAGAGGTTGTTACACTTTAGGCTTGAAGTACAGAGTGGGGAGAGAATATTTCTTACAAACGTTGCAAATATTACAGAATATTTTTTATTTGTTCCAAATAACTATTCCATTTATTCAGCACATAAACGTATGTGTACGCGTATTAATTTCGAAACAAATCACACAGTGGATTCCAAAAAAGATTTTAAGTGATAATGTACATCAACTATATATACTTATATATACATATATATATAAATATATAAAATATGTAAAAGAAATCGGTAAGAATACTCTCCCTATTCGATTGCTCTCGTCCGAGCGTAATTCATTTGATTTTATGTACTGTGGTTTTATTTTGACTTCATCGTCATGGACAGCACGTAGCAATGATTCGTTGACTATCGCAGAACGAGTGACAGTATTTCTTTATTGCGATTCCTCTTGTATATGGTGATCGGTGTCGTATTAATGACATACTCCCACAGAACTCTATCAGTGTTTGGTAATTTTTAATGCGTTAAATATACGATTTATTGGTTACCATCTAATTGAAAGATACTCTATGGCCAAAGTCGATGGATAGTTGCGAGTGCCGCGTCCATGGTGTACCACTTAGTTTGGGAGACTGGTAGACAAAAGAAAAGAAGGGTGAAGAGACATTGCGGTTACGATACCATTGTACCATAGCTGCATAATAAATAAAGGTAACGATAATTTGAATGCGAGACGATGTCCCACGTTTTAATGTACAAATATTTTCGAATGAGATAGTTAAATAAAACGCAGTTAGATCAGAGAAAATGATTCGTTCTCGTAAGTAGTGATGGGTTTAATATCCGAAAAACAAATTAACAGTAATGGCAGTATTAAAGAAAGAAAAAGTGAAACTGCTATTGGTGGACTGAATCCCTGCTACACATTGAATCCAAGGAGATGGCGTGGACTGTGCGTGTAACGATAAATCCAATTTATTCGATATTACGATGATTAAATAAGGACTAAGAAAATTTGATAAGAGAAGGTATAATGACAGTAATTATTGTACTGTTCGCAGACCATACCATCTTCGTGAAGACTCTGTTAATCTACGATTTTATACACAATCTGCTGCTGTATTTTCACGTGTTCACTTCAAGATAGTACCTTGACGATTATTGTTGACAAAGAACTATCTTAAAGTACAGGTGCCTGAGCAAAAAATGAGTACTTTAGCGTTCATAGTATACAATACATACACTATAAGTATAGGTCCATTTAATTTTATTAATAAACAATACCAAGCCCCGTTTGCAACATGTCCAAAAGATATGGAAATCGACTTGCGTTTTGTACTTTGAGCCTAAGAGATTACGGAACTGTTCTGTTTGCTCCAGTACTTGACGCGATTCAGAAAATTCTTTGCTGGTGCTAACGGGTCTTACGATCAATCAGGCTGATTGCCCAGATACCGTTACATCCCTACGTTTGTTAGGTAAGCATTAAAAAGAAAAAAATGAAGAAAAAGGGAATCTAAGAATCAGGTTAAATAAAAAATATTGTGTCACAAGTAAACGTAAACGAAAAATCCTAGGCTAAGAATTTGGTTTGTGTGTTCATAAGTCTTGTTCAAACTACTTTTGTACAGGATACCATTGCATCATCACTCTCGACGTAAACAGTAATACCGATACCACAGACTATATTTCTGCCCATTCCATCAGAATTGAACTTTCATTGTATTTTTAAGTAAATACATTTTGGAAAACAACACAAATGTTTTTTTATTCTTCACGAGCTTGTGAAGGAAACGCGTCTTCTCCCTATATTTATTATTTATGATCATTGCATATCTCACTCTTTTTTAAGGATAATTTAATATTAGATAATATTTTTACGTACCTTGTATATACATTAGAGATTAAGATAGTATGTGTAGCAATGCTGTGTAAATATTTGGAAAAAAATTTACAATAAAATAATGATGTTCGTAATGATGTGTGATATATTGGTTTATGCACTTGAACTTTTCAGTATCCATGTTTATTTACATATGTATAATTGTATGTAAATTACAATGTATTCTTAGGTACACTTGTGTATGTAATTAAGATATATACCTATTTGTAACAATGTTTAATATTAAGTATTGATTGTTTACGAAGCTATTGCAAAATGATATTTCATAACGATAACAAATCGCTGGTTTGGATATATATATATATATATATATAAAATCCAGCGGTGAACTCCTTTCCTACGTAATTGTATAAGTAAATTATATAACTCTAGAATTAAAGATAGGAATTGATTAAAGTATGAATGAACGTACCTGGACGGAACATGTATTGGAATTTTTTTAATGGAATGTACATACACATATATGAGAGTATTGTGTTTACAATATTAGTTCCAATACAAAAATATATATTTACAAACAAATTTGTAGCAGACGTAAATGCGTAAAAAATAAAAGTTAAACATTGCATGTAAGCGTACGAAATGCGTAAAACAAATAACTATGCGCGGGTGTTTATTTTACTTAAAAAATTATACTTTGTACGAATATTGCATGCAGATTGTCTTTTACCACGTACACTGTACTTTGTTCGTTTCGAATTTTATTTCACGTATAAGAATAATTCTTAATCGAGACTATTTGCATGCACGTCAAACGTGTAGATTTTCAGTACACATTGATCACAGTCACAGTATTTTATATATCACTTATATTCGCAAAATATTTTAATCTGTGATATTAAAAAAAATTTGTTAGAATCCATAGAAAAAAAATATTGCATTTAAAATTAATGATCACTCGGCGAGATACCCTACAAGAATACAATTGTTAATGTGTTACAGTAATGTACTGTCGTATAATCACAACCAATTAAATATTAATTACATTCACAGTATACGAATTTAAAGAAATTTTCATTTGAAAAACAACATTTATACAACGTATCTTTTATATTGTTATTTTAAGAATAATAAAATTCACGATATTTTAGTCGTCAACTTTTTTACGCTGGTTTGTACATATTATTTAAAGTGGTCAGTTCTCGAAGAGTGTTGTTAGTAATTCTTGTAAAACTGTCGGTCATGTTACTTTCTCCGACGTTGCTTGCCTCTGCGTTCGCTCCACTGTTTACGTCCACCTAAATTTCAAGATAATTTAGTTAAATGATTATAAATTACTATTAAATCAACTAATATACGTATTATGTTATGTATACATTAATAGAATCCGAGATGGATAATCCACTGGATAGATTTTCAGATAGAGTTTGGCCTAATTCAGCAAGCTCTGTCGAATTAAGCGGATTGAGACTCCAGTCAAAATTGTACTGTTGAATGTCCATGTCTAAAACATTTGTGACATCTGTTCTGTTCTGTATTTCACCTGCTAAAAATGTAAGAACATATGAATTGATCTGTTGAAAGCAACGCGTTAACACAGTAATCTGTACATAGTTTGCTCATTATTACCAGCATTGTTCAACATTTGCAACTCGTCTCCATAGTTTTGTGTTGCTCTGTTCAATGGTAATTGTTCTTGCGGTTGCAATGTATTTTGTAAATATAAAAACTGTTGTGCGTTTGTGCTAGTTGATGGTTGTTGTAGATGACTGCTCGTTGGCTGACACTGTGGTGATAATTGTGGTTGAACAAGCGCTGGGTTATATGGACTGTACTCCATTGGCGATGGAGTGCGACCTGGTGATATGTGAGGCCTATACCATACAATTGAAATTCATTTCAATTCATTCTCGCGAGACTTACATTATTTTATAATCAGTACGTTTATGAAAATTTAAAAACTACCTCAAATTTTGCATAGCAGCCTGTGGTTGAGGATTTCCTGGAGAATATACAAAAGATCCTCCACTACCCACTGAGCCTCCATAGGGAGATATCCTCCCTGCTGGTTCTGGTTTAATGACATTTAAATTATACGGAGTTGGTTGATTTAACATCGCAATACCTACAATTACAATAACACAAATAAATATCTATCAATAAGACAAACTAACAAATTCACCGCAACCTGATTAATAGAAAGACAGATGCTCAGTCCGACCACAATTTCTTTATAATTTACGTTATATTCATTATCGTGCAAAGTCCTTGAAAGAAGCAACAATGAAAGAATAATGTACCCTTAACATCATGCATATATAATTATTAAAGGAGAAAAAAAGCAAAAGCTTAATAAAAGCAGTTAGTTAATACGATTCATGCAGTTTTATATATTTTCACTCCAAACGTCACTCTATAACCATACACGTGTTTCATATGATTATCAAAAACACAATTAATATGATTAGCAAATATCAACAAACTAAACTATGACCAAAGATCATGTCGTACCTGTACACTTTTTACGTATATCATTCTTTTAATCTGAAATTGATTGGGAGCAGAATAAAAAGCAGAATAAATAATTGTACATGTATATAGATAAATATATTATGTATATGTATTGTACAATATATAGATATAATGTTTATCTTTCAAAGAAGCAGTTTATAAAAATCTGTATTGCCATACAAATATTGCACATCATTTTCATTCCTATTATTGTAATGCAGAATATCTTAAGTACAACATTGTCACATGAGAGCAGAGTACTTGTATACCTTTAAATCTCAAATTGTACAATCAGTTTTTCAATAACATGTTCAGTTCATTATTAACAATGTGCTTCTGTAAGCATAGTAATGGATATAAAAAAAATAGTATCCATTCAAGCACTTATTGGTAATAACTACAAAAATACAATATACTTTATAATTGTACAAGATCACTGCCCTCCAATCATTCAAGTACAAATTTCAAATGTTTATACAAAATACGTTCTTAAAAAAGTATAAAACAAGATTGTTCGTCAGTGCGTGAAAATATATATCTATATCTAAGATATATGAACATAGTACATATTTCTTAATACAATGAAAGTTTTGATCCACAAAAGACCTCCCTTTACGCGGTGGAAATTTTCTTTGATTCTTTGTCCTCGTTCTTCAGATTTTCAGGCACTGTTCAATGCAATGAGACACATCGTATCTTCAACAATAAATATATGGGTAATTAAAATTGTAATATTTCCACGACGTAAAGGGATTGGATTAATCGGTGGTTAGTATATGACATGATTCGAGAGCGCTAAAACATGTGATATCTTGACAAATTTAAATTCGCAATTCGTAAACATCTTTCTAAATGTACAAATCCAAACCTCTAGAACTTCCAATAAATTTTCTATATTCGTTACAACAACTATTACAACAAATAGGGCGCAGGGACCCCGTAAAAATGCAAAAAATTATGTTTATTGCTAGCATTGTGGAGACAGCTCATTACACCTTCCCCTTTTTCATATATGAAAATATTAACATGGAAATTAGTTGTAATATCAAAAATTAGAGTCAGCAATTTTGCATGAGTGTAGTACAATGTATTATGAATGCCAATGGCATTGCTTAAACCCACTCCCGGCAAAGCTGTAAAATTGTAGACAACTTTATAAAAATACTCACGCTTCTCAGCTTCTGCTTCTATATGCCTCAAAACTAGCACGTTTGGATTGTTATTAATCTTTTGTCTCTTTCGCCTTAACCAATCAGGATCATCTATAAATGATTGTACATTAAGGACGTGATTTATCAAACATTTCCATTAATTTTCTCTGAAGATAAAATGATTTCGAGAGTTCCCGCAAAATCCATTTCACTCTTAAATATTATATTGTTATGTTAGAAGGTCTGTGTTAAATACAAATAAAAATGATTTTGCTTTACCAACCATAAATTAAATGCCTATTCTAGGACTAGAAATAAAGTGATGCATATAAATTTCAGACACCATTAAAAATAAGAACAAACGTGTCATGATTAATAAAAGCAATACATATCCTTATCTGTAGGATATAATAAGTAGTAATACCATAAAATTTGACTAAAGGAACACTAACTCTTTGGTAATAAACAACAAGTTCTGACTGAGTTCATACTTCAACTATCTTATGGGATACACATGAAAGACAATCGAAGAGAGAAAAAAAGATAACAATTTGTACCACGACTAGAATAGTGTCACAATTTGATCGAAAGCGTTTTAGTTAACGCATAACACAACAAAAGCTTATCGCGTATTTAATAAAAAAATATCGCCAACTTTTTCTTTGATAAATTGTGTTATCAACACACTAAGCTGCCAAAATCCAAAAAATTACAACTGCGTAGAAGCAGTTTCGATCAATCACAAAAATATCAGTTTCCTCCTAGTATACTATCCCAAACAAGAAACACATCACCCTTAAATGGAAGTACTCTAGTAAACAGCATAAGTACGAAAACAAATTATGTGTCCTTCTTCTCAGAGAAAATCTTTCCACCCTCTACGGGACTATAGTAGAAAGACATTTCATCAAATTCTGATACGGTTGCGTGTGGAGCCATAGCCGTGTATAACGCATAATGTTCAGCCTCTGTTAATTCCATTCCATAAGGTGGCGTATCATCACCATCTAATCTAAGAGATTTAACGCTAGTGGTACTGGTAGCACTAGGTCTTGGACTTTGTAACTGTGTACCATCTGGTACATTATTTTTTAAAAAATATGAAGCGTTTCCAGGTATATTCACAGACGTATTACTATCTTTAGATACATTTGAAATTGTGTCTTTATCTTTCTTAATTTTCTTTGCAAACAATTTTGAAAACAGTCCCTGTTTCGAAGTCTTGGATAATGTACCAGGTAAGGAAGGTAAATTTTTGTTTGGCGCTTCGATGTAAGAATCGGTTGTCACGGGGGAGGATATGGGCCGAGGTAAAAGAGGCATGGAAGGCATTTTACGGATACGTTTCGGTGGTAAAGGCGGTAATCTTTCTTCAGTTTCCTGCGTTCCATCCCTCTTTGTAGTCACCGGGGGCGAAGGGCAAGGCTGATTTGGATCTGTTTTAGATATACACACGTCCTCGTACTTTTTGTCGTTTGGTAAATCAATAAATTCTACCGGATTTTTCATAGCCATTTGTAAACTAGTGTATGTCTGATTATCACAAACATCAATGTCCATGGATTGATCGGTTGTGCTCTGTTCGAGGGCTGCCTGTATTAACTTGGCATGTGTATCGGCATAAATTTGATCCAACTCGGCTACTTGTGTTAACAATTCATTGAACGATTTATTGCAATCGTCTGCTATTTCAGGTTTAAGATCAGCTTCGTTATCTTTTTCTTTGAGACACAATTGACCTTTTTGTACCCATTTACCTACTTCCGAATAGTCAAACCAATCAGATCTATTCTTAGAAATCTCTAAATTTTTTAATACACACGTATTATTAACGGTGCTATCAGGTTTAACACGAGTTAAAGTTCCTGAATTGGAATCGTTTGTTTCTTTGTTCGCGTAATTACTGTCAATTTTGTATATTTTATTTATTTGATCATTGTCCGTAACTTTTTCCGTGTGAATTGGTACTTCGTTGTTCTCGTAATCGATAATAGTACTTTTTAAATGATCCATATTTTGTGCATTATTTTGAGCAATTTCAGTACTTCCATTACAAGAATCTAGTGTATTTCTTACGTTATATAAATCGTTTAAAGCGCGCAACGCGGAAATTTTATTATTCGATTTTTTTAGACCGAAATCATTGTTATTAAATTCGTCGATGTTTCGCGTAAGTTTCGGCGCAACGTTTGACAGTAACGTCGATTCAGTTGCCAATATTTTACCGAATGTACTATAATCTGTTTTCTTCTTGGCAAATGCTTTCCGTAAAGACCAGAAAGCAGGCCTACCTGCACCAAGAGGTAACATCTGAAATGGTAATGGTTCACTTGTTGCACCGTCTGATGGTCTTTTGAGCTGGATGTATACTTGCACTGGTTGATCTACCTGTTGTATGCGATAGGTGGGTGTTCTGAACGCGATTGCTGTCTGTCAATACAAATTGTATTTAGAATCAACACACGTTCACTTAGACAGAATTTGATACTAAAGTTATTACATATAATGTATACCTGTTTATGTACATGAGTAGGTTGAAAATCACCAAATCCTTCCCAAACCAGTTGTCCATCCTTCTCTTCAAAAAACCTAACTTGTATATCTTCTTTTGCAACCTTTTCACACAATAAAATCATTTCCATACCGCCAGCAACTGATGCACTAGAATGACTGAGCTTGCATATCACAAGATCTGACATTGCCTCTAAAGTAATTAAGTATAATTAGAGATATGATCATTTGCAAAATAAATTTAGAACATAATGGGCTTACTTTTATCAAATATTGGATCAGATACAACTGGGGCTAACGGCACATTAAACTTTCTCTTTTGCGATCCTTCTATGAAACCTTGAAAACATAATCTTACAGCATTTAAATCAATGCTGGTAGGTTGTCTTTTATGTTCGAAACCAGCTAAAGAGAAATATATACAATGTACACTTCTTTTTATTAAATATGTGATTTTGAATGCATTCAATTGTGAACTTACTTCGAAAGGGATCTACACGAATTGCTTCTCTTATTCTAAGTGCCTCCTCAATGTCCTTTCTCTTAACACATTGTATACCAAGATTCGCGAATGTGACTGTCATAGTTTTTGATGATACTTCTACTGTACAAACACCTTGTTTACACGCTTCCTTTCCAACAAGATTATGAGGATGAGGTCTGTACGGTTCATCTTTTGTTACACAAGATACTATCACTACAGTAGGGCCATTGTGATTTACTATCTACAATCAACAGTCCTTATTTTTGTATATGATCAAAGATTAAGATTTACTTATTAGTTTGTAATACTTACTCTTATACTAGGAAATGTTTTGTTTTCTGGTGTACTATTTACACCAGGTATACTACCAGCCGATCTGCCTTCGCATTCATAGCGAAAGCGTAAAGCTTTGCTCGCTGGTTGTTCAATTATTTCAATATAAGGCAATAATTTTTTAGCAGGGCATACTTCCACTGGTGGTTGCTCCCCTCTGTCAGTATATCCTGCAAATCCAGGATCAGTGGTCCCTATGACCTCCACTGCTCAATAAAATTGTTATGTTATTCTATATATATTTCACGTGTAGTCAGAATGAACCATTTAATACTTACTGACATCACTTATATGTATATTTTCGTCACTCATTCCATGGAATGATTCCATGGCTCTTAGTGATTAAAACACTGAACAGTAGCCATCTGAAATAATTTTGATAATGTTTGTTATCAAACGGTTCAAATATTATAAATGTTTTGGATGGCTTTATAAGAAATCAACTGAAATGGCTTTAAAAATGTACTACAAATTATTTTAAGAAAATATGTTCCATGCATAACATGTACAGTATAATAAATTTAGACAGAAAATTATACTTGTAGGACTAAAAAGTTAACCATACGATTTGCATTTCACAAAAATTTGGCATATCAAAGTATTTCGCGCGCATTTATCAGTACAGGCAAGAATACAAGTGGTTGTGTGAAGATAATTACCTAAGACCATAGACGAAACGACAATGCAGGAGGAAAGATTGACTTTAGAAACAATTTATTTCGTGTCGATAAAACCATGCGTTCAAAAGACTGTATCACGCATCTTAGCGGAAAATATGTTTATGTCGCAATACATAGGATGATTGACGCACGAGTTAGGCGTAACTTATGATTAACACTGTTAAAACATTAAGCGTAGGTTAACAAGGAAGCATAGAAGTCTCGTCTCGAAGTTTTGGTCAGTAAAACGACAGCTGTTCACAGGTATACTTCCAGAAGCACTGCACACAAGTGTCCCAAGGGAAGAGAAACGAGAGTAGAGGGCGAGGAGGGATGCCACGCTGATCCAATCATTATTTTGGGAAAGCCTAGGTCCGTACGAGCCGTGCAGCTATAATTAAACTATCGTAGGACAATGTGACGAGAAAGACTTGCCTGCAGCTCGATCAACATAGTAAGGCACTTTCGAATCTGAAAGTATGTATGTACACGCGCTTCTTAGCAGGAAAACCGAATTTAATCGGACGAAATGCACGTTGCACGAAATAATTGTAAAAATGGCAAATAATACCAAAGTCCTTGGTTAAAAATTTCTTTTATCACAGAACACTGATGCGCACACTGTCCGCACACGATGTAAAATCGTGCATGGCCGTGACTAGAAGCGAGACCCAACGCAGCACAACATTTCGCTCGGACTTTGCATTGATACTGACCTGTTCGTTAGTTTCAACGGTAGGAACGGAGTATACGTAATATACTTCGTAGATACGCGCAGGCACACGTATTTCGACGAATCTACATTCACAGTTACTCAAATAGAACGACCGTGTATCAATACGAGTAATATTGTAATGTTACGATAACTTCCTTGAAATTTGTGCGCTGAATGACGTAGAATTCCTTCTACATGGAAACTTGTTTCTCCTCCTGCTTTTAGTATAAATATAATTTCTTTCGTATACATGGCATATATCTTACTTCTCCTGCAGTTGGTTGAAGTTTATTATAGATATACATGTATGTAGTCTTTACTGTGTGAGTTAAAAATGTAGACTTTAACACATTTGCTTTAAAGTTCATCAGATGTGTAGATTGAAATTCAGGAACGTAGATAGCTCGGTAGAATTCAGATCCTTGATATACGCCAATTTGCTATACCGTGACTTGTACGATAATCCTCATATTATTTAAAAACTCCCTATATTTCTTTCCTTGTAATTAGATTTATCATCAGTTGTAAATACGCCTAATTTTTAGTTTGTAAATCATTGTTTGATGCGAATAAGATTCGTTGCGAGTTTGAGATTACATCGCGTAAATCAGATCTATATATTATATAAGTTCTAATCGTGTCTTGCACATCGTCGTAGACGTATTCAATTTATCCAATTCCAAGAAACATCATTCAAAGAATACAGATACAATTCGAATATTTGAAGAATTTATTAAATAAGACCGATAAGGTTAACAACAGATATAATAATATGGAATATAACAAATGCAATATATAATCAAGACATTAAATAATAAAATACAAATTATGCATGGAGAATTTTAGAAAAATGCATTGTATGACGCGTTCCACAGATGGCGTGTTAACCACAATCTTCTACATATATGTATACATATAAAAGCTGATAAGTCTCGTGAACTTTTAAGAAAACTATAAGTCATACTGTAACCACGAGGTGTCTACGCAAAGCTCTCGATGCAAAGAGTTACATAAAAATAATATAATATAATTTTGAAGAAGGTCTCTCTCGAGTTCTCCTTGAGTTTAATTCTAGGATGTTCTTCAGTTTTCCCTCCATTTTCTTTCGGTTCTCACTCACACGTTATTCTACTAAGAGTAGGCAATGTTGCATCGAAACGTACGAGCGTGATGATTCTGTTTTGTCACACGACTGTTTATAATATTGTCTCCATGACAAGAGGTAACAACATTTGTCACTTTTGTGAAACGCTTACTCGTGAATGCTAAAAGCGATGCCAGAAACTGCAATCATCCTGAAAAATACATGTTCCCTGAGCGCTTCGAGGAGCCCCAGGGAAGAATTCAATCATTTCCGCGGAGAGAAGAGATTGGCACGATGCATGCAACATAAATTTCAAAAGTATTCTCAACTCCCTATAAGATGTCAACGACCCGGTTCTTACTATCGTCCACCGAAGACTTCCTTCAGACTGACCGGTTTGTCAACGATAAATCGTACATCTTCGATTAACACGGCGAAAAGTTGTCCGGACAGTTCAACATGTAACTCCATATTTTGCATGGTCGGTTCACCATGTTGTAGGAAAAGCTTATCCATGAATGATCTGTCACCGTCGATGATGGAGGTAGAGAACGCTGACTTTAGGTAACTTTCAAATTTATCATTTTTTCTTTCCTCGACGAATTCACATTCTAATCGCAGTTAAATAAATTTAGATCGAATAGCAGTTCGATCGCGGAAAGAACCGAAGAAAGCGATAGGATTAAAGATACTAACGACGTTGGAATCAGTGTCGGTATTAAAAATTGGATGGAGGGATTCGTATGCGAGGAACCGGATTCACGGTTCTACCAAAATCCAGAGAAAGCTGCGAGTTTGGTGTGTCATATGCTTATGCTGAATGCTTGGAGGCGCAAGCGTAAAGAAATTTTGGAATTTCGTCGGACGATCGATAATTTAAATCAACAAGTGAAAAATCTACAGCTGCAGATCATCGTATTGCGTCGATTGTCCGACGCGGAAAATAGCCGTGTCAGCAAACTGACCAACGAAGTTCGTTATGTTAGGACGCAGCTCAACGAAACGTTGAAAGAAAAGGATGTATTAAAAACGGTTAGTTTTCAGCTTGAAATTTGACGAATACTTTCAATAAGAATGTAACTAACATTTCACTTGATTTCGTGAACATTGTACGCCGATAATATTTCGATAAGCGATAAATATCAAGCATGGACATATGCCTACCGCCTTGCGAGCGATGCACAGCAGAGTTCAATGACGTGTATCTAACTAGGGGGATGACGCTAGCGTAAGAGCTCGTGACACGAGTTTCGGCTCGTAAAATATTATAGTTACCCAGAGTGAAATTTCTGGCATTCCTTAAGGAATCGAATATGTAACCATTGCCATGATTACGATCTTTATCTAGGTGTTAACTCTGTACAAGGGTGATCAAGTTTTCGAAAATGCGAAAATGGAAGATTTAAGAACATGAAAATTTAAGTATTCGTGCATGGAGAGATCTAGCCTATATTTTCGAGAGCCAGAATCACCCTGGTGCTTAGTTACGCTAATGTATGTGGTATAAAAAATTTTGGAAATGCGCCATGCCATTTCCTTCGTGGTACAAAATATCATTCTGGTTCACTGAAATTTCATTACACTTTACGGATCATTTTCATTTGTTACTCTGACATTTCTTGCCATGATTATCATTAATAAACGATTAGATTTGTGCATAAATATATTTTGTACGATTATACGATATGGAACTCGTGTGCGTCGTAGCGGGCTATTAATTAGTATACACTGTGGAAGCGAGAGAGAAGTTGGCACTGATCCAGCGGCTAATTGTGAAGCGAAAGAAGGAACTGTATCGTACCGCGACAACAACAACGTCATAGATAAAACCAGAAATCCTCTCCTAGTTACTTTTAGGCACATGCGAAGTTCAACGTGGGGTGAATACGTTTTCACGAATTGGGTTACCGTTTATTACAGGAGACCGGGGAAATGGAGGGAGAGATCAAGCGTCTGAGCGAGTTATCCGAGGAGCGGTTGGTCGAGAAAGAAAACGTGCGAAATGAATTGCTTACCGTCCAAGCTCAACTGCAGGCACTCGACGAGCAGATGTCGAAGGATCGAGAAAAGCTGTTGAAATTGCGCGAAGATAAGAGGATACTTCTTGAAAAGGTTCACGATCTAACGTATATTAAATTCCACGTGCTGCGAAAATTGATTCGATGGGGTGACTCATTGTCGTGCTTGTTAGAGACGAGTCTAGAAAGGGTGAACTCTCTCGGTTCGACGCGGATTTCTATCGCTTTCTATGAAAGAATGAGTCATCTTTTCACCCTCCAGAGTTCAACAAACGAACTCTTTTACAGTAATTAATCCAAATATTAAAGCAAGGAGATTGTAAGGAGAACTTAAGTAGATTTTATGGGGAATTTAAATAGTTAGGAACCTATGTGAACCATAAAGGTTATTGATAAATAGTACGGGTGGTGGGTTTCTCTAACACTATTTGGAACTAAGGGAAGTTTAAGTTGCACGCGATCATACTTGTCCGATAGGTCAACGTACCTAAGGATATAATACGCGGTTGAGTCATATCTTTAATGTTTCATCGGTGACTCAATAACATATAGCACTCTTTCCGTTCTAAGAAAAAGGGATCGATACTACTTGACCTATTAATTCCTGCTCGTGTAAAGTTCAAACGAAAATTACTAGCATGCCATCTACTTGGCAATATGTATTACTTAACGTGGTTACCTACTTATCGATTACTCCCTCTCGTGTCTGATAATTCATATCGATTACATTAATATACTTTTTCAGGTAACAGCTAGCGAAACTCTAGCCGTTGAACGGGGATCGAGAGCGGATAAAGCAGAACAAGCTGTGGAGGACTTGCAAGTCAAGTTAGCAACTCAGATTGGTCTCGTTGAATCTTTGAAGCAACAAATACAACAATATGCAAAGTAAATTTCGTAGATAAATAATAATCGCGTTATTCGTCTATTGACAAATATTTTCCTCGTAGGGAACTGAAGACCAAAGAAGATGAAAAATCAAGGTTGGAGAAACGCTTAAAATCGTCCGAAGAGTCGGGGAGATCCCTACACTTGCGCACGGTTTTCCTGGAAGCCCAACTAGCCGACCGAGAAACAGCCTTGCGACGTGTGGAGACATCGTGCAGTTCGCAATTGTAAGTTTTAATGATCCCCTATGCCTCGTGAATGCCCGTTTTAAATTGTTTCGTCACTGTGAATCATTTAAGAGCGGAATTAAACGAATTGAGAGAACGTCTAATACGACAGTCTCAAGAGGGGGGTTGGAGTAGTAGGATGCTTCAAATCGCTGGTAGCGTTGTACGTGCACCTAGAGCTATTTTACGTACCTTGTTATCAACGACAGGTCCAGTGTTGACTCCTTAAAAGGTAATGCGATCTACCACTTGCTTTGATATACATAATTATTATTGATTTTTAATATTATTTCAGAAACTGCCAGGTGAGCGTTTAATTTTTTTCACTTCAAGTTTCTTACAGTTGAAACAAAGAGTTTGAAAAGTAAGACTTCGGGTTCAGTGGGAACAATTGTTTGACGAAAAAGAGTGGTGTTGGTAGAAAAGGATGCTTACGTTGGCTATGAGCAACTGCGCTCCGAAGGACGCAGTGGACGGACGAGCAAATAGCGGGCACTTATGCCCGCCGATGGCTAATCAATTTTTCAGTTTGAAAATATTGAACCTCTTTCGGTCTCTGTCACCTTGTTGTTGCACGTATTGTGCACGCCCGTGACATTGATCTCTTGGGGCACTTGATCTACCCTCCACTGTTGATACGAGATGTGAAAGGGAAAGTTGTATGCGATCGCGAAGATAAAAAATTGAAGGAGACAGTTTCTAAGCGATAGCAAATTCATGAGTACTTTTATTACAAAAATTATAAATTTTTTTTTATTTTATTTATTTATTTATATTTTTTTTATTCCATATACTTTCTGATACGATTGTCTTTATTTCAAATTGAAAAAATATTTAGTGATCCCATAGAACAGACATATTAGATATACCAGCGATTGAAATGTTACGCGATAAAGGGATAAATAAATAAATATAGATATTGTTTTACTTTTTTAATCTATATTTTACATGTTTTTTCGATGTAACATGATAAAATGATAAAAATAAGATACCGTTAGCATTGCTAAGCATTGGATAATATCACCGTGGTTGAGTAATGTTTTTTATCTATTATAAAATAACAACAAACAAATGCATATGTACAAGTAATCGTGTTTAAGCCATATTTTACATAACGCTTGCGCGTGTCCGTGTTTTACAGAGTTGAAACGAAGAGAAACACAACGATGCTCACGGTATATTATTTTTTCCAAACACGTTACAGTAGACCGTTAAAATCTAAGTAACCACGTACGAGTGACACAAATACGACGTGTCTGATCACATTTCTCATTATTGTGTACTTAAGTACAAGATAAAATTATGATTTTCCGTTTCGTTTGATAACAACATCTCTGCGGTATCCTACTCTGCCATTACGATGGATCCATGTTTGGTTTTACTTGATGCTTTTCTTATACGGTAAGCGAAGAGACGGCACGTATTTCGGTTGGAAGATTCGCTCTTGTTATCACAAAATCGTCTTACACGGTCGAGTACATCGTTAGGTGTAATATGTAACTTTTGCTAGTCGTTCTAAAAACATCTGTTATTGCATATATTAATCGCGACAACAAATAATGCTGCCCTACGATTCTGAGATTGGACTTGATCGTACTCGTTGACTCGCTATTTTTAGGAATAAATTTGAAAAGAAAAACCGCAAACGTGAAAAAAAGATGATAACTACATCTACAAAGAGTTTAGAGATCGTTTTTCAACTTTGGCTATTAATTTGTACGAATATTTTCTGAATACTGGATGTAAGAAACGTAAAGAAAAAAATGATATCGCAAAAGAACAAGTCAGACTTTATTGTACATACTCTACTTCATCTATTGCAATAACTATAAAATAAAAAAGATTGAATACTTAATCGTATCTCGATAGAACTGCAGAGCTGAATATTTCAAATCTTACGGCTTGAGGAACGCGTACGTACGTATCTACTTTTATAAGTAATAAAATTTACAATACTTTTAAACTACAACAAACCTTGATACAGTAAATTGAGCAATTTAGATGTTCCTGTAAGATTGCTCTTTGTATCACCTCATTATAAAAACGTTACCGCAAGCCAGTAAAAATATCAATATGTCATTGTTTTTATGTTTTGAAACATTAGATTGTTCTTTGATAGTCGTTTAGCAAAACACAAAAGGGGAAATTTAAAAAATTTCTAAGTCACGTATCAAAGTGTGCAATAAAGGTGGTTTCCTCTGATTTCGTCGTGGGAAAAAGTTACATTAATTTTTTTCTTAAGTAAAACTATATTAATAATATAAAAGAAGAATTAAATAAATGTTTAATACCGTCGTTGTTAGATAAGACTAGAAATTAATGGACAGATAATCCTTTTTAAATCATACCAAAACCTTCGGTTCCCTCGCTAATCGCTAATAATAAAGCACGTTCGAAGTGATCGTAACACTCGTAATCTGGTAAGCAGAGTTGATTGAAGCTGGAAGAAAATTAGAATAATTAAAATGAACGATTAACAGTAGATACAAGAAACCTACCAAGTATGTGCTGTAGGCAAATTAGCAAATGTTGGTGCTGCTGTGATCTGAAATCGTGGATTTAGCTGTTGGAATCCACCGGGTGGTAATTGCGAGCAACCTGTAGTGAATTGTAGTAATCGGGCCATCTCCTCCTGTGTGAAATTACTAACTGCTGTCCAGAACCAATCCAGAACTCGGAGAAACTCCGGAGAACTCCCATTAGCTATATGGTGCGCTCGTAGATCTGCCACGCTGTATTCTCCAGTTCCACATAGTAACAACTACAACGAACTAAGTGTTTGATACAGAATAAAACATAAAATAGAAGCAATTATTAGATCATATACTTCTAGTTCATTTTCATCGAATATTCCTAAAAGGTTGTCGGGGATGAGCTCGTTCAGGCCCCTTAGAAAATGTTCTACCTCGTTTCGTATAGAACTGGCTAGTCTGTGTTGTGCCAATGCATCCAAATAACGCAGTTTCGTTTCGTTCGTGACACGAATTTTACTGCCTCCTGGTATTAACTCGGCTACCTGTAACGAATAGTAAGGTAACTTAGCGAGCGAATATTCGTATGAAGAAAAAAGAGTGTTCGTTATCGTACTTTTAATAATTGACCATCTTTATCGTACTCTTCTTCAACAAAATACAATTCCATTTCCTCCACGTCGTTCTCAAGAATATATTTTATCTTGCTTAGGTATAGGTCTGGGTCATCCTGCTCGAAATACTATAGCAGAAATAAAAAATATGAAAAAAATTTTAATAATCGACTCTAAGATACTCGGTCCACAAAAATGTTCCTCAATGTGAATGTTTACCTTGTAGTGTACCCTGAGGCCTATGATTTGCGCAAGAAATGATCTTGTAAATCTTGCACGAACTAATTGGCGATAGGAACCACCAAGTGCAGATTCATACAGGCATTTGCCCACGATTCGACCTGCAAACTCATAGTGCTTTAACTTGAGGTGTTGAGGCCGTTTACTATTGGGATGTACCAAAGCTTGCTGGGATTCTCCAAAGGAAGCGAATAAGCCGTTTCCTGAATCGAATAGAGCCGCGCAAATTAGTTCGAACCATTCTCGTCTAACGCCTCCCCAATCGACGCCTAAAGCACAACGCACAAATTAATCTTCTTATAATTAATAGAAAATATTTTTAGCGAACGAGACATACCTTGTTCACCTTGGAAAGTGATTTCGAAATTTCTGCACCAGTCGCTCACGGAAAATCCTTTGGTGGCTTTCATAGACTTAAGAAAGAATAAAAGTTAATAAGTATGCGTATGATAAGAGAAGAGTTACTATTTAATATTTACCGATTCCAGTAATTTGTCCCTTTGAACTTTCATCGAAAGTTTTTCGTGATAATGTTTCTGATGATGTTTTCGAACTTCATGATAAAAGAAATCTTGTTTATCGGCAAAAGTTTCGCTTCCACCTATGTTCTTCAAAAGGAACAACGTAAATGTAGCGGCTATTATATCTCTGTACAGAGAAATCAATTCGACGGGTGGCTGACATCCATCGTCGATAGAGAAAGAGTCGTAACCATCGTATTGATTATTCGAACAATCAAAATGAAACTGAAACATATAGTTTTAAGTTATTAATAGTCAAGCGATACTTCGGTGCTTTATTTTATGACATCAACCTACTTTGGTAGAAGGACAAAGCCTGAAAGTAACGAGTCTCTTCGGTATTATTCTCAACAAATATTCCTTGATGGTGAGCTGCTTAGGCGAAATAAAACAGAAAACTTTTTTCGGCTTTGAAAATTTCTCGCCTTGCATGCCTAACAATTTTGCAGCGTAACAAATGTCGGGGTCCTTCGAAGCAACGTTGTTGTGTACCATTCTTGCAACATCACCTGCGATAGTAATATCATCAGAAATCATGTCACTGTTAGTAAAATCATTTCTGTAGAAAATTATCCGTACTTTCGAGTACAATGATGTCGAAATCCCCATTGTGCAATTGCAGTCCAGCTAAACTGACTGTCGCGTGATAACAACCACCCTTTGGGAAGCTAACTTTCAACCGAATCCTTTGATTCGGAGAGTCGTAATCAAGCTGTATACTACAATTCGTAACCGCCGATTTATCTACTACATTCCCAATCTGTAATAAGTGTAATTATAGAACGAGTCACCCATACGGTAACAAAAGTATCAATCGTCTATTTGCCTGAGTAATATTGACTTGGTATCCTTCCGTAGGATTATCTCCAGGTCCAAATACGCACAAATTATCGTATTCGTCTCGTGGCTCTATTGTCATAGAGTGTGCAATTCCAGCTGTACAAACTACCGTAGAACTTTGCCGTACGAAGACTGTCTTATTTGGATCTGGAGGACCTGGAACATCGAACGATCGTGGATGTTTGTTCTCGAATGGTCCGCGGTAGGTCATCGCGGTAGATTATTGCGTAAACGTACCAGGAAGAAAATTCTTAAGAAACGGGCTTCCGTGAACGTGACACGAACCAATAAGTACGGCTATTCGATATTGTCCAGCATGGCGGACAGTAAACTTGACTACTGCGGTGTTAGCAGCTAACGGGTCGGTGCCTCCCAACTCAATTACGGTCGCCACCCTTCGCGTGCCTTCTGTGACTTCTACGATTAAATTGTCCTTGTCACAGATCGGATACGGTTGGCCGTTGCGTTGATAAAACTGTAAAACCATCGTTTCAAAGGGATGTATCGTCTCACAAATTGTTACGAGTTCGAAGAGAACGTATGAACGGTAATAGCCATATAAAATGTTCACTGAAGAGCTTATAGGCACTGGTCTATACGACTAATTTCAAGAAGAGCCTAGAAAGATCTAGAGAAACTTGTCTTTACATCTGCCCACTTATCGCAATTAGACTAATACGATGTCTATGTCGGTGCCCTCGCGGGTGCAGTAGCCCACCGCTCGTACAGTATAATCGATAAACAGTTTGGTTATTCAAGAGCGTGTACAGCACTTTAAGCGCCTATAATTTTCATGGTAATGCGAACTTTCACAATCGAGAAAGTTTTGTTATGTACCTTCACGGTAAAAGTCATTGTCTCCCCTACGAGCTGTGGCTCGTCCCATTCGAAGTGAACGCGGCAGTTGCTTGGTAACAAATACTTTCCGGTTACGTACTGCAGGAGGGAGTGTTTTGCTTCTGGTGCTAGGGCTGGCTGTGTCATAGCAGCTAGGGTCACCAGCCCTGCTACCGACACGGAAACTACTAACATTCCACCTGAGACATTACAAAAGGAAACAGTTAGTCTTTTCAATCCCTTATCGAATTTGTTGTACGTCTATGAAGAAGGAAGCGGTACCCCATGTCCAGGCGTCTTGATGTTGGCTGTTCTTGACAACGGCGCTCCAAAGATCAGCCTTGAGGGTTTCTAAATCTTCCTTCGAAATAGGCAATGTCTGTCTGGCCTCGTTCCACCGTTGTAGATCTTTGCCAAAAGCTGCCCGTACCGTGTTCTCTTCTACCCAGTACACGTCCTCGAGAGACATCACTTCCATCTGCATCAGCCTGACGAGACAGAAACAGATTCATTCTGCATTTTTTTCCTCGTAGACGATTCGGCTAATACATAAATGGAATAACTTGTCAGATAATTTGAAGAACCTGACACAATGCAGCATCGTACATATTAATTATCGCAATGTATTATCAACGACTGGCAGCTAGCAGTTTGTATTCATTGACCAGGAGTGGCACGCCGAATGATTGGCGAATGTTTGCTCACTTTTGGTAGTGGCTATGCAGGCCATGGTCCGTCAACCACTGACGTAAAACGAGTCTCTGTTGCAGCAAACGCGCTGCGCGTTGCAATCGTTCCTCGTCCTGTGCCGGGAGTTCTGGCAACGCGTCCACTTCGCCGCAACTTGCAAGGGTTGAAATGCCTATAACATAGAGAAAACGTTTCATACATCGTCACGGTATCGTTCAAAATCTAGAGAATCTAGGTTCCGAACCGTAGATTCTCGAGCTGCGAGTTACAACCCCTTCCTCGGGGGATTGCGAAGAATTTCTGCGGATATCTGCAGTCGTAATGAAAATCTTTAACGCATATTTGTTTCGGGACGGAATTAGAGTTGCAAGTTATTTGGCTGTTATGAAAGGGAGCTAGGTACTAAATTTGTTATCGACGAAGAGGAACCGTTATAATTTTTAATTAGCGATCCATAGGAACAAGGATGATAGCGTTCGAGTCTGATCAGAAAACAGGAAGCTGGCGTTTGATAATTCTGAACAGCGGCATGTCGTTCGTCGCGTCCGCTTTCATTGCGTTGTTAGTCGTAAAAAAACCGTCGAATCGTGTGCAGGGCACTTAGCAATGCGGTGCACGTCGCTTCTGTTGCTGCTGTGCATTCTCAACTGCATCACGCTCGTGTTCACGATATGCACCGTGAACGAACAGGAACGAGGTGAGGTAAACTCTTTCGTTTAGTCTATCCTCGAGTTTCTAGTTTTCCGATGAGATTGGAAAACTAGTACGTGCAAGAGTCTTCTTTTCCACGAAACACTCGCGAAAGTTCCCGTTGATTCGGACGTTGGCTTACGCTAGCTTCGGTCTAGTCGATTTGGCCGTCGGCTCTCAAATATTTGCTAGCCTTCGTTTCGTTGTTTCGAATATTGGATCCCGTCGGTCGGTCGATCGTTGAAATACATCCAAAGTCTCGATGTTGACGAGATCCGTTCGGTAATTCGAGATATCCCTTATAATTTTTACTAGAAATGTACAAAATATTCAACTTCTAAATTCTTAAAGATGAGATTTTCTACTTCGGATTCGCTACGACACCAAAAGAGTATAATATAAAAATGTATGAATGTTATAAATTGTTTTTTGGAAAACAGCGCCTGGAGATCATCTAGACTGTTTCAATGCCAGTATGGAAGCGATAATGAATCACACGAAGACGGACGTGTTGACGATAATGATCTTGAAGTCGCATTTGCCGTACATTCGGGCTCGTGCTTTTCTAAAATACGCCAGGAGCGTGCAGTCACTGAACATCAATAACTGCAACGTATCTAACATCGATCCTGCTGCATTCGAAGGGTTGGTCAGTCTGAAGAAACTCAGTTTATCAAACAACAAGATTACGGCAGTGAGAGAGGAATGGTTCAAGGACACGGTGTACTTGGAGCAGCTGGACCTGTCGTTTAATCAAATTTCCAAGTTCGAGCCAGCGATCTTCGGCAGGCTGTTACTTCTCAAGCGATTCGACGTTAGAGAGAATCTTTTAACATGTTTGGATCCTTTCGTGCTGCCTGGTGGTATCGACAAAGTTTACTTCTCTGGAAATCCTTTAACTTTTAAATGTCGAGGAAAGGTAAGAAACGTCATTGACGTATTTAGTTCGTTTCTGGGATCAGGTGATTAGATCGAGTCACGTACGTGAATCTTTCGATAGAATTTACGGTCGAACAATAAATGGGAAGTTTCTTGTAGAACACGAGCCGCGAACGGCTAAATAATTCGTGTTCGAGCATCGTGCTTTATTCAACAACCGACTACCGGGATTACGGTAGAGTGTAATGGTTGTTGCGATTTAGTTTACCTATTGATCTCGAAATTACAGCTAACTCTGTGGATGCGGGACCATGGCGTAAACTACAGGACCGAGCAGAGCCAGAAGGAAGCGTGGTTGGATAAGCTGCTTTGGCTCTGCGCCATCAACGACGAGAAGGTGGCCGAATCGGAGGACCTGATGAAAGAATGCGTTATCCTGAATCTATTCAATCAGCTTCGCACAGGCTTGAGCACTGCAGAATCTTATCCTCTCCAGGACGTGTCCCAGGAGTGTGTGAACGCGAGAAATCTCTTGACCGATTGCATAGTCACCGATACACGGAAATACGATACGTTCACGAACGGAAACGTGATTAAAAACCTCCTTCTATACTTGTATCAGGCTAAATCAAGCATCTGAGTACGAAGAACATCAGCGGAAACATTTGCATTATTTTAATTCTTTGATTTGTAGAATCTAGTCTCGCTATTCAGATTATCGCAAAATAAATCGTTATTGAAATAGACAAACGTTATTTTGAATACAAGTTACAATTCGCAACGTTCGGAATGGGCAGAATCTTTTTATAGAGGGTGTACCTGTTCGTTAAAGAAAGAGCGTGTGCGCTTGCAAGAAAGCTTGCGTGATCGTTGACTCTCGTTCGTACAAAAGGAACGTTTTCGTGAGCAGTCTGTTCGTTCAAGGAGTTTTTCCCACGCGAAGAAAGAAGGATCGTCTTCGAGGACAATTTACTTACCGGAAGAAGCGCTACCGCTGGGCCGCAGCGACATGCCGATGGACGATATCTCGTCGGCAAAGAAATCTTTGTCGCGTTGTCCATCTCGACAGCCTCGAATTTTGTCCGGCATAATTCCTCTCCACGCTGTTCCTCGTTCGTCAACTTTTACCGACTATCGAGCATTCTCTTTCGTTCACCGTCGCATCGCTCGCTCGTCACGAGGTCATCTTCTCGAAATATCAATAATTCTTTATTCCCTCCGTTCGCGTTGTTTGCCACGAATTACGTACGAATCGAAATCGACTTATCAAGGGTATATAGCTCGACAATTGCTACGAGTTTCTCGTGTCTCGATTTCAAGCGTTACAGAGTACTCCCCAATGACTTCATCGGAAAAAAAAAGAAGACAGAAACTGTCGACCGATTTTTTATTCCGCGATAGGGGGAACAGTATCGATATTGCACTTTGATTATACATTTCGTTTCGTTCCTTTTCACCGTTCGCAATTGCCACCACGTACACACGGCTGAGGTGATAAATCGTGCAAGGGTATACGAGACGAGCATGGAAAATACGGGTACGATAACCCCGGTTTGACCCCGAGTGGACTCTTGACCCGGTTTCGGTGAACGTTTAATTCATAGTAACGTATCGTTGCACGTTGATTAAATCGTCGCGGCGATCGTTTAATTGGCGTCGTTAATCGGTCAGCCTGAAAGCAACACCGGACAATCGGGTATCGTCGAAACTGTTGTCCGTCGGTCTATCTTTATTCGAATCGCCCGATTTGGGTCAACACAGATGAAATTTTATAGGGTGAGTCGCGCAATTGGGACAAGCCTGTAACTTTTGCTTCATCAAACATTGGAAACGATGGTTAAACCGTTTTAATTAAATTTTCATACTCGATTTTTCGCGTGGTCTTATTCGTGTCAGATTTTTTTATGATTCAAGTAGCGGTTTACGGTATAGCGATACAATGACCTAAAGTGTTGCGATACAATGTACGATGATTTAATGACGATGAAATAAATAAAAATAACGTTGACACGTTGAATGACGTTCTATGCCGAAACAATCGTATTTCCTAGTAAGTTAATTTTCGTGTGCCCTGATATTTCGATAACCGATACTTGGAAGGAATATTGTGCAGGCCAGGAGCAAAGTTGGTGACACAGTTTCACCGGTGACACCATAGCGGCATAGCGCATAACCCGGGTGTGCTTTCGCGTTAATGGAAATCGTGCCGTTACCTTAACACCGGCACGATAAAACGACTGCTCTCCCTCTGCTCGAAGAAAACCAGGTCCAAACGATAAGTTTCCGACGAGAACTTTTTTCGAGGATCCTCTTGAATTAGCCGCGTACGAAGATACGATGAAAAGACGGCAGAGAATGAATATCTACATCTTTCTGCTCGGATAACGAGCGATTGTCTTCTGGATTAATTACAATCTAACCTGTTACTTTTCGCGCGGTAATAAAAAAAGAAGAGAAAGAGATGTTTGCTTTCGAACGAGATTCATCTACTGGACAGCTAGGGAAAGCTAGGCGAAGGTATCGAATCAATGGATACAGGCTAGAGGAAAATGGATACAGCTGGATCGAAGATGGCACACATTCGAATGTTATTTTTCCGCTTGCCAGTGATTCACGAATCCGTTCGACTTTCTAAAGAGCTAATCGCTGGTACTCAGGTGCATCCAGCTATCGGTGATTTATTTACTCCGGGACGTTCGATGAATATTCTAATTCTTTAACGGGTAAAGCCGGGTTTATATCGATGTATTAAATGGATTAAGTAGTTATAACACCGATTTACAAGATAGCTCTAACTCGACGTAAATTGATAGGGTAAGTTGCCGTCCCATTATTCGTGAAATTTAATATTTTTTGTCCTTTGCGACTAGTAAGAATGTTATTTATACATATAGAACACACTCTATATCATCCCAATAATTAGCATAATTTTGTGATCAAGTACACGTAAATTGAACAGTCGCTCGAGTGTAATTTGAGCCTTCAAGATGGCGGTGGGTATCGAAAAACCGGCAAGAGAGTGGAATACGATATTTCGGGGCATGCGAAGAAAAATAGAAAGAAAAGTACAGTACGGTAGTTTTGTGGGAAACATCAGAGGACTTCGGGAGGATAAGTGTTCCATTAGCGAAAGCATGAAAGCCCTCGAGCAGCGAAGATCACGAAGTTAAAAGAAGGATACGTACTCCCGGACCTTTCTCCGGTTCCCTGCACTCCTCCTTCGTTTCTCGCGGTGTGGTCGCGAAGAAGAAACGAAACAGGGGTAAAAAAGAGAAAAGGAAGCGTACCGCGGTACAATGAGAGAATGAAGCGGGTAGCACGGCAAGCTCGCGTGGACTCTTGACCTTTTCGAACGGATATCCTTCACTGGCATTACTTCGTGCTAACGATCCTTTCGGTGCTAAGAGGGGGAGCAGCGGGAAGAGGAGGCCAGGGAAAACCAGGGCATACGTATGTCATACATTCTCATGCTTATGCATGAGAGGGTTGCTGGTATTACGAAGGTAGCACAGATCGATTTTACCGCTTTCCATGCACGCTTTTGTATGTCTATCATGTGTTGCCGCTTCTTTTTTAAGTATTTTCAATCTCGACAGACACAGCCACCGCTTTTCCTATCGGAAGGTTCTGACAGAATTCGTATACAATAGCGCATCGAACTTCCTATGACTTTATTTCGGATTGCATGGAACATGAAAATAAAAAATTAATTCAACCTAGAAAATGTATTATTATGGATAGAAATTTTACGCATTATGTGACCATGTCTGAAAACGAAGTCGAGGTGTTACTTGGCGGCAATATAACAGAACCCAATCGTCCTAACGATAATTGATACAACGAAGAGTCGCGTAGAAAAGAATATTTTTTATAAGACCCGTGAAAAATAAATGGGAGCGTTAAAGGGCTAAAGGTCAGAAAATTTGGCGACCCATTCGGACAGTATCGCGGATGATTAATGTGGCCCGTGTTCGCGGTAAAACGTAATTGGTGTCCCGGAATTTGCTGCGTTGCACAGTCGACGAAGATAACGCCGTTAAATTCGAGCTGGTTTATTGCCGGTCCGGAATGCAATTTACATAATCCCTGAAAGCGGAAAGCGTTGCTCGTCCCGTCGATTTTTTCTCCCTTTTTTCGCTCGCGAAATACACCGGACGTGATTCATTGGTTCGATTCGCGAATACGTCGAAACTGTAGAATGTTTCAAAATACTCGACACAATTCCAACGAAATATACTACTTTTTTTTTCTCCGTACCGATCATTCTTTTCAGAGAAATTCAACTTTAATACTAATTTTATTTAACGGTGTTTTTAATGCAGGCGATTCTCTGCTCTTCGTTTTCACGTGAAACTAAATCGATTAAAAATTCGGTGTCTCTATCGTGCTATCAACTGTATCGAAAGTAATTGCTCATATTCAACATTTCCGATACACCTCTTGAAAAATGTAGTCTTCACGGTAGGTCGATCGATTCTCGCAGTCGATTTACGCGGTTCTCGTCGACCTATGAGCCGAATCTCCGTCTCCGGATAGGATTTAATTTGCAATTCTCTGTAGTGTGTAATCAAGCTCGGCGAAATGGTTTCCAACCGTTTAAGTCGTATCCCCTATTCCAACTGGCTTTCCACGCCATTTCATCGACGCCGTTTCTATATACCGCAAGAGTCTATGGAACTCTACGATCTCTCTATCGATTATGCATGCAAAAATGACTGTGGATTAAAGAAAGTTCTCGTAAATGTCGATTAAAAACTTCCTCTATGACCGTTCGCAAACACCTGGTAAACAGTTAATAAATAATGACTATCGTTAAATCGATATTCTTTTGCAAAGATTAGCGAAAAAAGGAGGTTTCTAACGAACGACTTTAATCAGTTGTTAAATGTAAGAGCACGTTATGAGAACTACTGTCATCAAAGATTTCAAAGTCTGTGGCAACTGAAGGGTTAAATTTATCGATTGTTCTCGGTACGAGGGGGAAAACTTTGACGTTGTTGAATCGCGGCGTTCGATACGATGACGATTAATTTTTCACGCGGCAAGTGGAGCGTGTCAAGGAGTCAGCGACGTTTTCTCCGGGATCTTCTCGACGGAGGGGTGAAATTTTTCTGCGTAAAAGCCGAAAGGTTAAGGTCAGTCGGGTAGATCGATACTTTTCTATTGGCCAGTACGTGTACGCGAAGGTATCTGCACGCAACATCGCGATTTCGAAAAAATCGATTTCGCGCGGAGATCGGCACGCGTATCCGGACGGCTGTAAGTTGGTTAGTCGGTTTCGAGCGTTATAGTTCGAAATTCTACATTTTTGGAAGTCACGGAAACGTTGAAAGGATTAATTACATCTTTCGATGAGTACTTGAAGCTTAAAAATGATCACGATAACGTTTCATCGATAATTTTTACGCAATATAGCTGGCTATCAGTAACAACGTACGATGACAGATTTCGAGGCATCCGATTCGATAACATAAAGGAATCCGAATAACGCTTATGGCTCATGAAATTAAAGCCCGTAGTTTTACGACAATGTCTATGTTGACGTTTTATCGATATTCTTAACAGAAAGTGACTTCTTTATTGGAACAAGCGAGCGAACGTTCATTAAAGAGTAATATTCGCTACTTGTTTCAGCGATGAATTAGTCAGTTTCTGGTAGGAATATCGACAAAACTATTACGCAATCATCTTCGCAAAGCTTCAAGCTTTAAATTGATATGCCATAAGTGAGATTTTCCGATACTTTTCTGTGATGAAATTGCGTCGGAGTTTCTACGTTTCGCGATCGGTCACTGGATATGCAATAACCTAACCGAGAAGAGAATGAACTTTGCAAACATGAAAATTCAATTTTCTTTCCGCCAATCTCTCTCTCGGTCGAGTTTCAAGATTTTAGCGTCGACATCGACACCGATAAAACGCATTAACCGTAGAACGTTTTTCGCGGTGGTAGTCGTGAAAGAGAGAGAGAGGCAGAAAGTGTCGCAATGCAGGTTGTGCATTCGTTCTAAGACGTGCTCTAGACGAATCGGTGACTTTCGAGAGGACCAAGCCTGTCCGATGTCAACCTTCGAACTTTCTACAGTCTACGTTTACAGCATCGTTCCTGACGTCAGCGTCTGTTTTTTGCGAAGGAACGTTTTCACTCGACCACTCCACCTCGGGCTAACAAAGTGTTAGCAGCTCGCTGCACCGACGATGAGAACAGACATCGAGTACAGTTTAGAAATTCAAATAGAACCGACGGTTGCTGAAGAAGCTTCTCTCCTCCCAGCCCACCCTTTCAGAGACAAGCACTCGAATCGTGTTACTTTTCTCTCGAGGAACTTTCAGTAGCATCGTTGAACTTTCAACGCTACGCAACGACCCATGAGGGAAACGTTGATACGGCTCAAAGTAAACTTTCGGGAACGACTGGCTTGACTTTTTAATTAGAGGCGAGATTTGTTTCCTTCTCATTATTCAGCACAATAGACACATTTTTATTATTTTTCCTCGCCGACTTTGAGATCCTCGAGTAATTGGAGCTCTTCATTTCCAAAGAAAGACTTTAATAGGATGAAGTAATTAAAAAAATTGAAATTTCAGAAGAAAGACCGAGTACTTTCAATACAATAGACTTTTGTTACATTGTCAATCTTTATACTGCGTGTCACATTACCACGTATGTATAGATAAACTTTGCATTATTATGCATTGTATTACCACGCGTTGTATTCCCATGATATACATATATTTCTTCGCGGCGTGGTATTCCACATTACCTCGCATTGCATTGTTATATTCAACTACAATACGTGATAATATAAAGAAAGTCCACTGCAATTAAAGAACGCAAAAGTAAATAGAAAATTTTTTAAAAGAATCGAGATTCTTTTAAAAGAATCCTCCTTTAATTAACTAAATCTATCAAGCCAGATCGCAAAAGATTAGAAGAAAAAACCTTGACAGTCGATTTCGATCGTGAAATAGAAAAAGACATCGCGTAATTAGATAGTAGCCTAAAGTAAATCTTCGACTTACGAATGTTTGCCTTTCTTCTCGTCTGCCGAAGATCGTTTGTCCACCAAGAGAGTCTCGTGGCGAACTCGGAGACGTCGACGAAACAAAAATCGTGTGCCAGTAGATGAAGAAGCGCGGTGTTCACCTAAAATCGTCTTCGAAGACTCTTCTCGGACGCGAGCAAACAAAAAGAACGTAACCCTTCCTCGTCGTTGCACTTATCGATATTACGTTACAATCGCTACAATATTTTGCTCTACGCGGTTCGCAAATGGGCAAATCAACGATACGGGGCTAGTCTAAGTCCTGAAGCGTACTTATGAAGGTTCAAAGTACACACGGAGGTCGAAAAGAAGCGGGTTCGAGGGAGAGGAGGATAAACGAGGCGGGGATAAGGGGTTGGTGGCCAGACAGGACGATAAAACGCGAGGTTTCTACGAGCGAATCGGCCCGTTTCTACTAAGGATCAAGTTTTGACCCAGTGTGTCAAAGACTCGGTAAGCGCGCGAACATCCGAGGCTCGTTTACGATTTCACCCTTTTCTGGTACGACGTTTGTCGACTGGTTCACGCGTACGCGCCCTCTGGCAACGCGCATAATGCCCGCGTTCGTTGTCCGTGATCGAGCGTGGCAAAACTAAAGGGTCGATTTTGACGGACAGGGTTGTTCGGCCGAAGCGAAGCTGCCTCGACGTTCGAAGACAGAACCCGAGGAGACGATGCGATGCGACCTCGACAATCCACTCGCGCGGACTCACGCTAGACGACTGCATGCGATACGATTACGCGGCACAGAGCCACCCTCTGGTGCCACCCGTTCCTCTACTCCCACTCCGAAACGAACCACGCCACCAAGACCACGCCAAGCCAGACGATCGCGCCTCGTCCTTCGCGTTTTCCCCGTTCTTGCGGAAAACTCGGCACGCACACCTACGTATACCGAATGCGCCAGAAACCGAACACACTTTCCTGCTACTTCCAACTATTTTCAGTCGAACATAACAATTACGGGATCAAGGAAATAACAACGGAGGATCTGGATTCCTTCCTACAGTTTTCCGAAGTTATCAACGCGTGTTAATCCGACGCAGGGTCATCCGGCGTAGGTGTGCAAGTTCACCGTACAGGACTAGCATGATCATTCTGTTGCACAATCGCCACGCATGCATCTGCAATTGGATCTGTATGTTCATGCGTTAGTTAACGCGTAATCTTGTTGGTTCGAACATATCACAAAATATCGCGTATTCGAAAAAAAGTTTCAACGATCAAATAATTCAATGGAGCTTTAATGCTGTACGGCTTGGATTTTTCCAATAATTGCAAACGTGCTTGTCGCCCGATCGTAAAGAAGTGCTCTTGTTCGTATTGGACGCTTTCGACGTTTGGTCACATTTAATCTCCGACGATTTACGATCAATAGGGGGTAGGGTAAAGCACCTATTCGGGCCAGCTACTTGCTGACGGAATGAAATCGTTACTTTATCTTCGGCAATGCAATCTCGCTTTCTGCAGTGTCGACGGAAGTGTAACACTCGCAAATCCCCTTGAAAGGACCGTCGAATTTTCTCCTCTCAGATTAACGAATCAGCAATTTAAATACGAGTTCTGGTACGAGTCGTTTTAAACGATTTGTACTTTGCAATTAAATCAATGGAGATATGTTATCGAGTGGTCAGATATTGTGCCGTTGGAATCTGTCCGATAGACAGGTGGCACATTTCCATTTCGAGCTTAAATTTTAAGCCGATGAGATTGGCAGATTGACAATATTTATATGATTCATCTACAAGAATATCGGACTATTAACATATTGACTGTATTTACGCTCACGCTGACCAATTTAACATAATCGAATAAGTGAATGGAAAATAAAAGAAAAGGTCAAATAGTATGTTTGACCAGGACTAGGAAGTTTAAATTAAGATACGATGATGTTGTGAACAATTGAAATTAGCGTGTCACATCATATAAAGGTGTCTTCACCATTTAACGCGTTAGGATGTAATTAGAGTTTCAATATGTCTTGTTGCATACATCCACTTCCACTGCATTATTTGCCTGGGCAACGTTTTTAGTCAGTGGTAACGTACTGCGATGGACAGCCCGAAAAAGTAGTGTGTCCGTGTATACTCAGACAAAGAAGGGTAAGCGAGATGAGCATCCCCCACCCGGCTGCCGACCAAGTACAAACAGCGCGCAGTGACATTGCTGCAGCCGAGAACTTCGTATCCATTCGTTCGTTTCATGCAGTGCTGGCAGAATATACGGACGATGTGGCCAATAAACCGGGGCACGCTTCGCGAAGTCGTCGAAATAAGAGTCTTAGTATTTGTATTATTACTCGAACAAATAAATTGGAACCGCGATCACCAGTAACGTTAAATCTGGGCAGAGCCAGAGAGTTGATAGCTTGCGGGGTCATGTCTGCTTTAGAAAATAGAATGAAATTTTTTTGGAAGTTCCCGTATCCTATTTCTCCGTATTCGTTTTCAAAAGTTTTGCTGTAAAAATGAAAAAGTAGATTGAGAAAAATGGTTTTCACTCGGTATCGTGTTTATTTTTGAAGACCCTGGACCCATGGTCATATACGACAGTGCTTTGTCCCGCCAATAAAGAGGTTCAGCTTAAACGAGCACCCGCGCATGCGCGGATAGTGTTGGCACCGACCGGGGCCAACATGATAAAAGTTCGGATGCTGACGCAGATTTATCAGCAGCTCGGTCGCACTGGACTCCAGATATAACGCGAAGGACGCAATCAGGAGCAAGAAAAATTGAACAAGATAAAGGAATGCTTGGCATACTTTCCAATAAGTGCTTAATTCTCTTGGACGAATTTCACTTTGCGAATAATTTTGAAGATACGTTCTTTGTCCAAAAGAATATCTTTGTAGCGTTCGTTTTAATATTTTGGTTCGTATGGGTTTGTTGCACAATGCTTTGACATTTAGGCTGCTCGCAAGCGAATTCCGAAATACTGTGTTGCTTGAAACTTTGCATGGACAAACTTGCAGAAGACTTCCTCGAGTTTACGCCACAGGAAGTTTACTCTGCGAGCAATCGATGGTATCCGGCGCTTATCGCACGGAAATTGACTACACGCCAAGCGATGAATTCTGATGTTAGAATGAGTGAAAATAAATTGGTTATCCGAATATAATTCGTATCTCGATTTTTCAAATCGTAATCTTATCAACACCGTCACATCGCGATAAAAACGATTATCAAGTACAGCAATTGATACGTCCTTCTGCAATGTTTACATTTTGTGAAGTACGATATTTTTGCAATCTTTCTTTCAAACTGAAAACATTTTAAAATGAAAGAACTATTGTCCATAAACTATATGATAAGCGAAGCAATGGAACGAATTCTGACCTTTCTTTTTGAAGAGAGGCCGGTATTGTTTTAGGCCAATTTCAGCGAGCCACTGATCCGCTTCGGTGAGATCCCCGTTGTTTCCATTTCCGGTGGCAAGCATCAGAAGTTTGCCAAGCGACAGGACCATAGAAAGGGCCAGGAATACCCCCGACAATACAGTCGACCATCGTGCCATTTCCTGACCGGTGCATCTTCAAAACGAACGGTTATAAACTATACACTTGACGTACCGCGTGCATACATACACACAATGCATACATATAGGCGGCCGTTAACAGGTTAAGTAGTTGAATTGGAGGTTAGGTCACCACCGTGTTTGTAAACAAATCTGTGTCGGTGAATGTAACCGGTCGTATTTTACGTTAGTTGGCTTACCACATTTTCGAAGAGCTGATCATCGGTACACGATACAATTGACAAAACCGTGGTTGCGCAGTTTTATGGGTGTAAGAATGCGAGTAGTTAGACAGAATGAGGATAACTGTAGATGGAGTGACAGGTGGAGAGCACTATAGCTACCCTAGGGATTTCGCGCGCCGGTGTTTCTTCCAATGGCCAGACTGAAAATCAATTTAAATGTATCTCTTCCTTAACGTTAGTCGATATTAAAATATATAAAATTTCAAAAACATCTTCGTACCTCTTATCACTGTACAATTAATCCTTCCACAAACGATATTACAGGATATTCCGCTTAGAAACGAAGTTATAGAATGTTCTAAGCGAATATCTTTTTATAAAATACGCACAGGTATCTAGCTTACCCGGTGTTGGAAACTGTGACGCGTTAGCTAATCTGAACAAAGTTCATACATGTAATAAAAGATGATCTTTCTGCTTGTAATCTAATTCGTTTCAAGCTGAATCTATTACTTCGTGCACTATAAGGGAATGAAAGCGATAAGCATATATCGCAAATTATGGCAATTAATTTTTTATTAATAAATGTTATTAATAGAATTTAATAAATATTATTGTAGAATCTCCTGAGGTTCTACCTGAGGTTCTGTTTGGATTCTCCTTAGGGTCTCCCTAGGCGGTCCTTAGCTTCTCACAGTACCGAGCCAAATGGAATAAAGCTCCTCTCTTTGCGCTTACTCTTAGCCAAATGAAAACTGTGTTAAATCTAAGTATAGAGATATGTCCTCGGCATTGTGATCATTACCTTCCCACGTCGAATACGACCGAGTTCTCCGTAATCTTGACGCAGATGTCGAGGTATCGGACGGAGCAAGAAACAACCAACCTCGAAGTGGCGGCCTGCATTCAACTTGAACATCGTCTGCGGTCAAACGGAAGGAAAAACGAAAACTGTGAACTGCAAAAAAGTAATCGCATAAATTTGAATGTTATGTGTTTTACCTATCAATTCATCGCATATTTAAAAAAAGAAAAGCACCACAAGATCAAGATAGCGCTATTAGTAAAGTTGTCGAACAAGAATTTTCATGAGGGTAATATGTCAGTACATTAGCTTTTTGTGCAGTGTCCGATAACGACTTAACGCTTCATGTTGATATTAAACTCTTTAAGAAAGTAATTAAAGCGACGTTAAAAGTCGAAACTGTTCGCTGGTCTCAAGACGCAAATTATGAGAGCAAATTATTACTGGATGAATTAAATATGTCGGTTACTTATTAAACGGTTCATCAGAACTGAAATAGCTAGTAAACGATGTACCTTATAGACAACCGATCGTGCAACTCGATTTCACGCAACGATATATTTCTAATTAATTTTGTCACAGTAGATTATGAACCAGAGCCGCTTGACCACTTAATCAGCATATCAAATTACGTGCGTACTGTAAACGCATACAATTTAAGTATCATCGGCATGATTGATCGGGCAGTTGTTTAAAATTGTTGTCGCTTCGAGGGTATTTTCAGTTTAATTATATCAACGACATGTCAGGAAATCGATAAGAAAGAAAAAGAATCGCAACTTCTTTTCCAATCTGTTCCGCGTGTGACGCATTCCTCGAACTAGGAATACATGTATCCGATGGGTGTATGCAACGTTGAGAGTCAATTGCCTGGGATTTACCTAGAAAGTGTCAATCACATTACGTCTGCTTACTCGTTTCATTACTGCGGTCAAATCAAATAAGCACGTTTCGTATAAGTGAGCAAAACGCCATACATTCTTCACAATTTCTAACGATTTACCTAATTTTATTCAATACTGGGTCTTTGGAAATTTGAAACCTTAGAACTTAAATCTTGATCGTTTATCATGGGTCGTGAGTGAAATACGATTCGTGATCGATGACCAGGTTTCGAAATAACTTAGATTATCTTCTGAATCGCTCGCGACAACGAATGCTGATGAGCTGTCAGGTTTTGGAAAACGTCCATAGAGAAATTGAACTTACTGTCTTAACAAGAACCGGTAGATTCTACGTGTCTAAGACTATTGACTGTTTCTAATGGCACTCGCTAGAGCATCGGTATTTAACGGTGACACGTTCCACATAGTTTTTCCTCGAAGTATGCGAGGCATGTGTCAATCTAGATTTCTTTTTGATAGAAACAACTTTGTGAGTGGCGTAAAAAATACAGAATGACCGAAACGATGGCTCGCTCGCTACTAGGTAAATTACCAGGTGGCGAGGTGAGAGGTCTCGATAGTAATTTAGCGAATGGCCGAACAGCGGCGCTGTCTTTGGTGCAAGCGCGCGGTTTTGCCTTGTCCAGTTGCATACTTTACGAGTTCCCCGGTATGGTCATGAACATGGGACACCATGGTACATGCTTTGCTTTGACAGCGGCGAAATGTTTATTTAATACATGGAAATTCTCGATTCTTTGGTTTGCAAGGTATACACGTTTCAGTCTCATTGGCCCGGCCCACACAAATCCTTTTATTTTTTTTCTTCATGCTTTCTTCATCTATCGTACATTCTCGAACGCGTAAGTATTTTTCCCGTTCAACGGAGTACATACGTACCGCGAAACATATTCTCTCCGAGTATTTGGACATAATTACTGTCATCGCGTATTGTGTTCTTCACAATGGAGAATATAATTTTCATTTACGTTGATGCATTTTAGTACTTAAGTACTATCTTACAACTACTCTCGTGGAATTACATTATTCTCGATTTATGACACTTACTGTATATAATTATTCGTACGATTGCGTGCAATTAAAAGAAAGCGCAGGGCTAAATCTATTATTAAGACGCTCTCTTAATTGTCAAATTCTAGGTAGTCCTTAGAATTTTTATGTGGTACCCACGCATTATTCCATAAAAAATGATCTGCATAAAATTTAATGGTTGCATTCTGTGTACAATGAAGACGGTTCGACAATCACGAGGAAATGAAAAAGTGTTAAGGTGGAATCCCAATACCAATCCAACAACACGGTAATTTGACGACGCAAACAGGTTAGGTCAGCCTCTGGAAGGTGGTCCACTTTATTCGATCTTGTGCTTACGAGACCCGTGATCGACATGAGCACGGTATCGTAAATTATTGTAACATTATCTCTGTCAGTCTGTGGACCGTTATAACGATTAATTAATACCCTCGCCGTGGCGTTGTTAACACGCCTTTATCTGCATTCGAAGCCACGTTGAAAACGACTGAGCGTTAAATAATTAAACACGTGTGCATTTGATGATGAGTCGTTGGATAAATTCTCGTCAGCGATACATATCGTTGAATATATCTCGTGTTACCAGAAAATATTTAGGTCGCTTAGCCTTTTTCTTTAATCGTTTAATATATAATTATATGACTTCTGCACCGTTAAGTCGAAAATTATGTTGAGAATCATTTATCCACCGATTGCAAAGAAAGTATTGATAATTACACGACTAAACGTTTCATTTATCAGAATCAATGAACCCCATTTTTGATGCGGCGATGTTTCATTCGGACGTTTCTCGTTTGTGTCGAACATAATTACGACGGCTCCAGGATGAAGCCACCTGCCGTTTATCCTTAATTTTGGGAGAGCCCACGGAGAAACCAAGATTCCGAAGAAAAAGTCTTATTATCGTTTGAATGGAACTTTTACTTCGATCGAAATCATCAGGAAATGTGGTATGCTTAAAATTGATCAAACGCTTGAACTAATTCTCACGCTAATTTATGGATGATTTTAGAATGTTCACCGGAGAGAAAGATGAAAAAACGTTAACAATGACGTTGTCTGAACGAGGGAACCGTGCAAGAAGTTTCGTAACGATATCGAGGTCGTTGCTCGTTTTAAGGCCGCCGTAAGACACATGCGAAAACATGCGAATCGTTACACGTAGACTATAGACGGTCACCTGGCCCGGTTAATCCGGGGACCAGAATGAGAATACTTGATTCCTGTAATCGGCGTTCGTACTTGTAGTACGTTAACGGATTAGAAAGTTAGGCTTTGACAATTACTGCTGTCAATTTAGAATTATGGTTTGACATCAACTTAGGAAAAACGCGTGATTTATGGGAAAATATAGTATATGTCGATTCTGTAAGTGTCAAATATGCAAGCTAAACACGACTATTCAATATAAATATGGATATTTTACGATACTAACATCGTCTGTTCATAATCTTTCAGTGTCATGTACAGGTGGGTGCTTAACGAGAATTAAAAACTTATGAACGATAGTGTACGTATACTTCTTTCTCATACAAATAAGAGCACGTGTTAGCTAGGAGAATTTTTATTCTGCTCAATAATGTACACTTTCCTAGATTCGACGAAATCGCTCTCGGTGCTCCAGTTTCGGACGTCTAACGTTCAAACGAGGACTAAGAAACACGGTGCACCGGTTGTTACGCACGAAAGTGTGGCACTGGCCCGGGGGAAGAGAGGACGAATGTATACCGGGGCCACTTGTTCTTCACAGCGGTGCAGGTGTAGCTGCTGCCAAACCATCGGTGCTGTTGCTGCTCCTGCTCCTGCTGCTGCTGCTGCTGCCGATGCTGATGTTGATGGTGGTGTAACCGCCGAAGGCCGGGAGGGATCGTTCATCAACATCAACTGTCAAGAGTATCTTGTTCAGGCCACAAAATGTGCACGTGTACGCATGTATCTGCCTTTTCTCGTCTGGGATTCACCATTAACCCACTTGCGCGCTTTAACGTGGTTACCTCGCCTAAGATAGTGGCATCTGTATACCCTATTTAACCGCTCATTGTTTTAGTGGAGAAACAGGCGTGTTGTAATATCGAAACGAATCGTTAATTAACACGTTCGCTACTAGCGGTTGTCCGGAAAATTATATATTGCAGATCGTGCACTATTTTTAGTAATTTACCGCTAAGGAAACTTTAGCTTGCTTGTAACGTTTAACGTATTGCCGACAGCGTGGTCATGTTTAACTATACACGTGGTAAAGTTCATAAATTTAACATATTCATTGTGCAATGCTTTCTCGAATGTGAGAGAAATTTCAATAAGAGTTAAGCACAACAATATGTGAAACATGATAACTGTACAAATGGCATCGTCAGATGGAGAACACCCCCTTGTGGTGAAGATGAATCTAGTTCTCGACATGTTCTATAAATAACGAGATTTGAACGCGCCAATGCCTATGAGAAAGTTCACTAATTTGGTTCTTTTGCTCTAGTACCTAATTGAGTTTTCATCCTTGTTTTGTGCGACGAGAAACGCTTGTCTAATGAATTGCTATAGAAGTACGAGCCCTCGTAAAGAAGCATAGGTATTTGGACGTTTCCTCTTTGTGACCACTGTGACTCCGTTTGCACGTGAAATTAGCGGTTAGAACGTAAGTAGGAAAGGAGATTAATGTCGCTGTCGGTAACAAGAAAATTCCCCGCGGTCGTTCGATTAGAAAGTGCACCCGCTAAAATGCAAATGAACAACCACGTCCGCGGAGAATAAGCTTTTTTCTTTTATCAGTAAGCCGAGAATATTCCAACACTTTTAATCGACTAACTTTCTCAATCAGGTTCTAGATCAGATTTCCAGTCGTTTACCTTTGATCTAGTCCCTGCAACCTTGATCGTTTTCTGAAAACCTATGTTTCGTCCTTACTTGGCAAAAATGATACGGTTCAGAGTACGAAAAATGAAGATTCTGTGAATACTGACGGTATTTCAGATCAAAGAACTCGTTTCTCGGCGAGCCTCGAGCGATACTTGGAAATAACGATTCGCATTGGAACATGATGAGACACGACATCGCTTGAAAATTGCCAAAGACACGACGAAAAAGATAATGGATCGTTTCTGAGTAATCATTCGTATTATAAAAGTACTTTCGAGTTTAACGTACTGAAATTTTCTTATTTCAGGTAAATCGATAAACTAATTAATTCGCATCCAGTAACCACAAAGTCTAACAACGTGATTCCGGTTAGCAGAGCTTTAGATTTATACCCTCCATCTTTTTTCCAGAAAAATACGCTACTGTCGATTTATCTGTCCAGATAATCCAATTCAGTGCAGGAAAATGAAGATTCTACGAAGGTCGTCGGCATTCTACATCAAAGAACCCGTTTATCATAGAACCTGCAAGGATACGAGTTTGGCATTGAATCACTACGAGCTCCCATGTGCTTCGAAAACGGCGAAAGATACCACGAAAATGGAAGACCGCTTCCGAGAGGTCAGAGAAGAAGAAGAAGAAGAAGAGGAAGAAGAAGAAGATATCTTGTGATGGAGAAGGAAGAGCTGGCCTAGAAACGTTGGTTCTCCGATCTGTTGGTGAGTTTTCAGGCTTCTTCCCCCCGATCCACCTCGTCCAGTCGTTCCCCCTTTGACTGGGCATCGTGGACGCGATGATGGTAATGGTAAATGGCCCATGGAGAGGCTCTCCAGTCCGCGCCTCCAGTGGAAACGGGAGCACGCCACGTGAAAGTAGGAAGGGGAGGCTATAGCCGGACCGACGTCGCTTCGTGCGGCTCAGTCGTTCGTGGACCTCGAAGGACGATAGAGGTCGAAGAGGGCACTTCCTCCTCCTCTCCTTCCTCAGCGGCGCCACCACCTTCTCCTTCCTTCTCGACCGTCTTTTCCGCGCCTTCGGCCTTATCCTCCTTAACCGGTGGCGAACAGAACCACCACGGACACGTCCACAATAAGATAATCGCTCGCGGCCGTCTGCTGCGCTTCGAGAAAGTTGTTCCTCCTTAACGACGTCGTTGATACTCCGGATCGTGGGTAGCCGTCTAAACGGATCGTCGTCGACAGTAACGAAGGATGCATCGTCACGTCTGTCTGCTCCTCGGGATCGTCCTGCTGTGTTGCATTCAAGGTCGGTATCGCTTTTGAACCAGCAACCAGAATCGACCCACCGTACCGTGGTTCCACTCTGGTGAAAGTCCGCAACAGGTTACGGACTCGTCTATTCGTGACCACGCGTCTCCAGGTTCCAACGCCTTTTCTTTCCTTCTTTATTTCGATGTACGTTACCTCGCGTTTACCGTTTTACCGAGGAAATCGATCGGCATAATTCATTCTTGTTCCCTCGAAAGTAATTTCAACGGTTTCACGGTTGGCTAATTGAGAGACAAATGAACCGGAGGCGATGCACGAACAGACGGGTCCATTCATTATTCCGCGTGAACCAGCCGGCCAACCGGTGAAGAGTAAAACCTGTGCCCTACCGATTCCTGTCGGATGCGTAACGGTGATCGATATTTTGCGTTACAAGTCATTCGACTGGCAAAATATGAACGTCACGATGTAACAACCTATGCTCGTAAACTTCTACTCGAACTTCGGTTCGACGAGATCTTCGAGATTCGATTGGTCCAAGGGGTTTCACTGTATACCTGGTTACTCGTAGCCACCTACCTCTTCGCCGAGTCGATCGTAGATTCGTTTAATTCGTTTAATCGTCTAATTAAATTTCGCTTTACGCCTTAATCACGGTGACACGACTGCGATGTCAAATGGAAAAGGACCATTTTATTTTATACGAATGTCATAACCCTCTAATTACGATTTCTGAATATCCGAATAGACTACATCGAGTGCACCCGCAGGGAATATGCTAAAAGCTTTGATGCAGTTTTTCACCCGTTGTTGATGCAACATTCGAACCACCGCTATCGTATCGACTAATTATGAAAACTCCAATTACGTGCAAACTCGTGTAAAGTTGGAGCAAATTACTGAAATTTCATACTTTCGTCGGAGTATTCCAGTTATCCAATTTGCATTAACACGAAGTTTAAATTAAATCGAGTTCTATATAGCGTCGCAATCATTACCTCAAAGTAGTATAGTAATTTCCACGATATCCGATAAACGAATAATTTTCACTGGGTCACCGTTCGTTGATATTTAACCAGGAATCGTACTCTTTCGAAGTGGGTCAGTTAAACCCGGTACAAAGTTTAAAGGTCCATCGGTATCTCGAGCAAAAAAGGAAATATAAATCTGTTCCTTGACGAAAGCAAGTCCTTCCGGAGCGATACCGATGTTTCTGCATCGACGTCCAGCCTCTCCCCCTTTTTTCTCTTTTTCGCGGCAAATGGCTTTGCTCGGAGCTCCCATTGAATTCGCTGCAGGGAGCCGGTATCTCTCCATGGCCAAGTGCGATGCTCTTTCAACCGACAGCAAGAATGGAGGGGAGGGTTGAAAAAAAGAGAGCCAATGGTTTTTCGTTTTAATCTCCCGTACGCTCGAAGCCTCGTGCACGAGCCGACGAGTCACGGGGGCGAGTTCCTTCCTCTTCCTCTCTGCGTGAGCTCTATAGTGTTGTCGAGTGGCGCGAATCAGAGTGCTACTCTTCGTCTTTTATATTTTCATTTCATCGAATTGACTTTCAACGCGGCGAATGACACTCGATATTCGCCGAAAATCTCTTTCGGTCTTCTGCCTTCGCCCAATATTTCATTGCTGAGTGTCGAATGGAAGAACAAGACAGTCTGACGCGCAGAACAGCGCTAATAGCGTATCAATCTGATGGTTCGAAAAGAGTTGCTGTAACTCACTTTCATGTCATCGAATCATATTAGATTTTATACCTTCCGAAGTGGATCTTTATATTGTAATCGGTAACCGGTTATTTTATATCTCGAGAGTACCGATAAAATTTTAACGTTATAATTTGCGCTAAACTCGAAGCTTCAAATCAACTTGCCGCCTGTAATGCTTTGCGATATTTATACATATTTCATCGAATCACGTCCGAGTTCTTTATCTTTATTTCCCATCTTTTCCGCGTTTATTTTAATGCTTAATGCAAAAGTATATAAATACTATTAAACCATTTTTAGAACTGTACTCGCTACGAGTGTTTGAAGAATGCGGTGCAAGTTCAATCGGTTGTTCGAGCAGATAACTCGTAAAACGACATGTTGGTCAGGCTGATTCGCCTAATTAAGTATGCTAATCGTCTCTAAAACTCGTAGCTGCGAGTCTGGAAATTGATGAGTTGGAAGGAAAAGAAAGAAAAGAATAGGGGCATTCCATTGCCGCACTCGCGTAGATTTGTCGATAAGAATTACGAGTCTCTGGAACGTTATAGATAATAGGCTTTATATCTATTTCTATAGTCTTTTTTTTCTATAGACCCTCTGTGAAACTGACCGTGTCGATATCACACCTTCACGCAGGTGATTCTTACGTTATAGCTTTTCATCTTTTCTTTATCTATTAATTAAAAGGCAAAAGTGTCAAGGACGATACGGAGTAAATTCGTGGATGCACATTTGTGGAAGGAAACGTTAGGCACAACTAGGGTTATAGAGATCTAGTACATATTTTCTTTGTACAATATAGATTCCGTTCGATTCAATATCGAGGAACTCGTCCTTTGAAGTCGCAATAACCGGCTGTTTTACTATTGAAAATCCAAGCACGTTTATCCGATTCCTTCGTATTGAAAACGTTCTCAAAGCGTCTGTTGAGTCGTGAAGCGTTTCAATAAAAGATGATCTTCTAAAAGCGTTACGGTTTCGGTTCATTGACTTTTCGATGCGTTCAAATCCTCATGACCCACTTCCGAGTTATCCGTCCCTCGGGAAACCAACTAGTCGTAAATTAAATTGACATTCCTCTATGATTGTCGTGGATGATATCGCGTTGTCACAGAGAGACAAAAATACAATTTATTCGCTGGCTCGACCTCCTATGTCTACATCGTCAATCGCGAAAAATACAGTTATCCGTCTATTTGTTCGTTGTACACCAACTTTGTCCGTCTGGAATATTTACGGCTTATTGATTTAAACGAAGCACGGATATTCCTAAAGTTAGAGGAAAGTTTGAACGAATCGTCTGCCACTAATTACCGAGTTAGACACTTCGTGTAAACGAATATTTCCCTAATCGGAACAGTTGTCTAAACAAAGATAGTAAAAGTGATGGTCGTTCGGAGTAACACGCGTTCTAACGTGACCCCACAGACTGCAGTCTCTGGCTGGTTTTGGTGTCACAAAACCAGGCCGCTCAAATATTTTCTAAGCATTTTCGAGTAACGGTAACTGAGCTGTCTGGCTCGATCTTCGAGAAAATGATGTATCATAAAGCACCGGTATTGTATACGCTTTATCTAAAAAAGTTTCTTATTGAATTTTTATGATGGGTGCCCGGAAGTTTATAGTTTTCACGCGCAAAATGCACGAGCGTTCATCGCACGATTCATTTTTCTAGACTCCGTTTCTCTTTTCTCCCTCAATTACAGTGACCCCGGTTGCACATACACAATGAAGTTTCCTTCTCGGATATATGTACGTCTTAAAACAGGACGTCTGAATAGGTAATCGTCCGTTATATATGCAATTACAAAACAGTCGCGCACTAATTGCCACGCACAACACAGTATTTTCCAC